ATACATGCACAGATATTTTCATCTTTACTTTATACAATCTCCATTGTAAGGTGACTTACATATAACCCACTGCAAAAATGTTTAATGTTTTTATGATTATAGGTCTCTTTTTTTCTTAGTTGTTTTGTTTAATCTTCATTTATGTCCTTACTCAAAATCCAAGAAAGATGCTAGTAAGGGAAGAAATAGACTTGTTTAGCTTATTATGCTAAGTGGATATTGTCCAAAATGTTTCCAAATTCAGTGTTTTACAGTCTTAAATTTGCCCTTGAAAACCTCAATTTCCTTGTAAACATATCTCAGCTTCCTCCCTCCTCATGTGTGTGAGAATAGAGTTCAAAATCAGGACAACACCTGTGGTATTTCTAAAATACATTCATGGGGCTGGTGCTGTGGAACAGCTGTTAAGCCACCATCTACAGTACCAGTATCCCATATGGGTGCCGGTTCGAGTCTTGTCTACTCCGCTTCCAGTCCAGCCCCCTGCTGAAGCACCTGGGAAAGCAGCAGAGAATGCCTCAAGTACTTGGGCCCCTGCACCCACATGGGAGTCCCAGAGGAAGCTCCTGGTTCCTGGTTTCAACCTGGCCCAGCCCCTGCTGTTGCAGCCATTTGAAGATGGAAGATCTCTCTCTCTCTCTCTCTCTCTCTCTCTCTGTGTGTGTGTGTGTGTCTGTCCTCTATCTTTGTAATTCTTTTTAAATAAATAAATATAAAAAATACATGCACAAATTCTCTGATTTTCCTCCTTCGACTCTGTGGAAAATAATTGCCTTCCCATTGAGTATGAGCTGGAATTGGCACTTAGTAATTTTAATATTGCAGAATTATTCATAAATAAATTCTAAGATTAGGCCATAAAAGATATTGCATGTTTCTCCTTTTATCTCTGCTGCGCCACTCTCTCTAGATGATGCCAGCTTCTATGACACTCAGACTGTCCATGAAACCAAGAACCAAAGCCTTCTGCCCACAGCCAGGTGAGTGAACCATGTTGTATGTAGACCTCCATGAGAGGCCCTTAACCAGGGTCAACTAGTTAGACCACTCTCCAATGCCTTGCCCATAGAGATTTTGAGTTAATAAAATGTTTTCCTTTTGAAATAAGTGTATTTTGGAGTGATTTCCTATGGAAATGATATAATACCTTTGTTTCTACTCTGTCATCTTATTTAGTTCATTTCCAATAATGTAATAAATAATGTCTCTTTCTTCTTTTTTTATTTTTTAAAGATTTATTTATTTATTTGAAAGGCAGAGTTACAGAGAGGCAGAGGCAAAGGCAGAAAGAGAGGTCTTCCATCCACTGGTTCACTCCCCAAATGGCTGCAGTGGTTGGAGCCAATCCAAAGCTAGAAGCCATATCCGGGTCTCCCACATGGGTTCAGGAGCCCAAGCACTTGGGCCATCTTCCACTGCTTTTCCAGGCACATTAGCAGGGAGCTGGATTGGAAGTGGATTGCTTTCTGGTACTATGTTGAATAACAGTGGTAAAAGTGGGCATCCTTGTCTTGTTCCAGCTCTGAGGAGAAATGCTTTCAGTTTTTCTCAATTCAGTATGATACTGGTTGTTGGTTTGTGATACAGCCTTTGTAATTTTGAGGAATGGTCCTTCTATACCTAATTTGTGGAGGATTTTCATCATGAAATGGTGCTGAATATTATCAAATGCTTTCTCTGCACCTACCAAGATGACCAAATGGTTTTTGTTCTTCATTCTATTGATGTGATTTATGACACTTATTGATTTGCAAATGTTGAAACACCCTTCCCTTTCTTCATATTTTTAAAGATTTTTTTCATTTCATAAGTACAACTTTACGAATATAGTGATTCTCCCCAACTTACCTACCCTCACACTCACACTCCACCCTCCTCCTTTTCCCTCTCCAATTCCTAGTCCCATTCTCCACTAAGATCCATTTTCAATTGACTTTATACACAGAAGACCAACTCTATACTAAGTAAAGAGTTCAACAATTTGCATAATAAAAATCAAAACACACATAAAAATCTGTTCCTCAACAGTCGAGACAAGGGCTGTTCAAAGTCATTGCATCTCGAAGTTAATTTCATTTCTTTTTTTTTTTTAGAAACTTAATTAACTTTAAAGAAGCCCCCAAGAATGATACATCTTTTGCAAGCACTCAGACATAAGAAAGAATATCCTCCACTTAATACATTAAAAGAAAGTAAGTCCTTGAAAATGAACTTTATCATTAATTAAGGAAACACCTAAAAAAACAAGCAATGGGAAAAAAAAGAAAGCAAACATGGAGTTGGACATTTAGGCATAACTAAAACTTACGTGACATAAGAACATCTTCCACTTAATACACTAAAATGAGATAAATCTTTGATAACAAATTTTACTGTTAATCTCATAATACAACTCTGAGGACAGAGGTGCTGCATGGGAAATTAGTGCACAGTGATTCCTGTTGTTAATTTAACAATTAACACTCTCATGTATGATGTCAGTGATCACCCAGTGCTCTTAACATGAGCTGCCTAGGCTATGGAAGCCTTTGAATCCACAAACTCTGTCAGTATTTAGACAAGACCATAAGCAAAGTGAAATTTCTCTCCTTCCTTCAGAGAAAAGTACATCCTTCTTTGATGACCACTTCTTTCCACTGGGATCTCACCCACCAAGGTCCTTCATGTAGGACATTTTTTTGTCACAGTGTCTTGTCTTTCCATGCCTGAAATGCTCTTGTGGGCTTTTCAGCCAGACGAGAATGCCTTTAAGGCTGATTCTGGGGTCAGAGTGATACTTAAAGCAATGAGTCTGCTGTGTGGCCTGCTTCCCATGTTGGATCATTCTCTCCTTTTTAATTCTATCTATTATTATTACCAGCCACTTAATCTTATCCATATAATCACTTTAACAGTTAATCCTATCCATATGATCACTTTTACACTCAAGAAGGTATTTTTATCACCCAGCTTTAGAAGATTTGGTGTTCCATGGCAAGTTTTTAAACTGTACCCTTAGAAGTAAGTCCATAGGGACTTATGCAGAACTATACAGTTTTACAATTACAAACTTCATACATTTTGTAATTACAATTTTAGGAACATGGTGATTCTTCCCACTATGTGTGCCCTCCCACCCACACTCCTACCCCTCCTCCTCCTCTCTTTCTTATTTCCACTCTTATTTTTTACTAAGATCTATTTTCAATTAACTTTATATACATATGATTAACTCTATATTGAGTAAAGAAGTGATTTATAAGAAAGATTGTATTTACTAGAAACTCAAAAACTCAAGTTGATATAAAAGTCCATGAATATTAAAATGTTGTTTAAAAGGAACAATATTCTAATATGAAACTACTTGAAGAACTTTTATGTGTAAACATAAGAGAAAATGTAAAGATGTAAGAGGAAAAAAATCTATGGCTGGCAGTGGAGATTCAAGAACAATTTGGTTAACCACTGTAATTAAAGTTTTGTGGGAATGAGGAAAGAAACTCTAGCATAAACAGTTTTAGGAAACTCCTACACTTAGGTAGAAATGTACCAAAAAAAGCAATTAAAAAAAAAAGAAAGCAGAGAGGAGAGTTTAGAAATTATAGAAAAATGCATGTTGTAACGCAGCTTGTTTTAGAGAAAATGGATTTGTATATAAAAATGATGCAATAGACGAAATGTATTGGGGAAACTTAAGTATTTGGCAGGTAGATTATTGCTGTTTATCTCAAAAAGAGTAATTTTTCACATGGTAGTGAAGAGAAACATCCTATTTCAAAAAGCTAAATATTGAGCGAATGGTAGGAATTTTATTATTTGACATCAAAGCCTGAGTGTGCTTCAGGTTTGGGCCTTATCACCGCCCAAACCAAATAGGCAATAAAAGAGTGTTCTGGTTTCCACTGAATAATCTGACTCAAAGTCTTCAAGCACTTCTGGCACTTTCTTCCTTTCTATGGGTGTGCTACACATCCACAACTCATATATCTCTGATGTACACATTAATAGTTGATTCTATTTTCTAGCTAACTGTCCACAGAGTGGCAGGGCTCATCATAGTCATTCTTGTTCCAGGATAAGACTCACTTTAACAGGTCCTTCCAGATCAGGAGAGATAGGAAAGAGAACATGATTTCAAAAGCAAACAAAAAAAGTGTTACTTCTTAAACCATTTGTGGTAAGTAATACATTTTACTTTTACTCACACTCCTCTAGCCAAGAAAATTATGTGATTCACAAGATTGGTGGGGGAGGGGGATTGAGCAGGACAGGTAATATAAAACTCCTGTAGGAAGAGAAATACAGTCTTAAAGAGGGAAGAGGTAAAAGATTACATATGCAAACAAATGATATCTTTGCGCAATTATACTTTATGGAATTATAGAACTTCAAAGTTTAAAAAAACCTCAAAGGGTCTTTAATACAGTGTCTATTAATCTTAAATAGCCAAACAGTACATTCCTCAGGAGAAATTCTTTATGGACACCAACTGTATAAAATAGTTGAAGACCATCAGCTCTGCTTAAAACATGAATATAGGCCCAAGAGCACCAGATGCTTTTCTCTTAATTTATTACCCAAGAGGATTCTTGGAAACCAGAAAAGAACCCATAGAAATTCACAGATTACAATTTGAAAGGTGCTATTCTACATAATTTAATATTTGAGCTATGGACCCAGTCTATAGCATTTCCAAGTTATAATTATCTGTTTCTCAGCTTTGATTAGGACATTTCCAGTAAAAAGAACTCACTGACTCTAAAGATTCATTTGCATTTAAACAGTAAAAAAATCTGACCCTGAAAGGACCCCAAAAATTAAAGAAGCCAGCTTCATGATCAAAATATTAATGTTCTTTTCTATTATCTGCAATTATAGAAGTAAAAAGAGCATATCACATAATGAGCCAAAACTAAGGTAATAATTCATCCTGTCTTTGATTTCAAGTGCATTTTATATCTACGACAATTTATGAATAAAATAAAAACTATATATTATAAAACACGATGTATGTCCTCAGTTACAACCAGATTATTAAGCTTTAGTAAATATTAATAATAATTTTCTTATCAGTGAGTTGTTCATACTACATATTGTACTTATTGTTCTTTGAATATGAAATAATTAGAATGTTAATTATACTTTCATATCAATACCACTTATTGATTACTGTTTTACCTTGGGTCCTCACCTGTGTGCTTAGAACACAACAGAGGACAAAGCGTACATCTCCTCTTAGCATGGAGTTTGTTTCCTTGAAGTGATAAGATGCTTAAAGCAAGTGTGTTACTAAACAGATAATATGAATTTTCTAGTAACCTTTGAAAAATATATTGTGCATGGTGGGCAGCCCTTAAATGCTGATTGGGAGGCCTGCATTTCATAGAGCTGATCAGAAATGGAGCAGCTGGAACTTGGATCCATGCCTATGTGGGATGCCAGTGCTGCAGTAGGCTTGTAACCCACTGTGTCACAGCGTCGGCCCCATATCCAAGAACTTTTTAAAGTCATTTATATATTCCCTAATCATCTTTTTTAAAATAAGTTAAGTTGATAGTTATTATTTCAGGAAGTGTGGGCTTTTTGTTACAGATAAATCATTCATTCATGTACAGTAACTGATTGAAAGTGTAATATGGTGAGTTTCCCTTGATACTAAAAATTTTAATGAAAAAGAGAACAGAAAAGTATTTTAATCTTGAAATAACTATTACGTTAACTCTCTCAAAAGACCTCTTGAAAGAAGAAGCAATTAACAAATGCATTGACCTAATTTTATAAGACATCCAAAACTGTGTTTCTTTTCTTTTATTGATATCTCTTTCATCTTCCTACTCTTATCTGGCATTGGTTGTCTTAGTCTCCCCGAAATTTCTTTGTCATTCATAGCATTTATACTATAATCAGAAGTAAACTGTATTTGATGCAGTCTTACAGTCTTTTCTTTTGAAAAGACTCAAACTCAGAAAGTTCTACTTTTTTAAAAAAACATTATACAAATTGATAAAATGATTGTAAATATATAATCATTTTAAATAATCAATGTTTACCAGATATTTCCATGTTAAGTTTATGTACCAATCACATTGTATCTTCATGGATTACCAAATATACATGAGTCTTAAAAAATGCTATTTTGGAATTGTTGATAGATATTTTTCAAGCTCTTGCTGAAAAAATACATAAAACTGAAGACATATTTATCAACACTTATTCACTAAGTAAATTTGACCTGCAGTTTTTAGAAAAGAAGAGATGTTCCTAAAAGTCTCAGCCTATTAAATTTGATGTTTTGTTAAATATTTTAAGCAGCATTTATTTTTAAACATCACATATTCACATATATACATAAGCATATAGTTAAATATATGACTAGTTTATACACTAGAGACTCAGGAGATATATATTCTATGACATTATAATAATTGTGAATATTACATGTAATTATATTTACATTACACATGATTTTATATATAGATTGATGCATGTCAGTACTGGTCATTCCAAATCTGATAGGCAGAATTGAGTTAGAATCAATGGAATGTCCCTTTTGCTAGGTAATCATTTGTCTTTTTTAAAGATACTATGCCTAAAATAATGTCATCTTGGAGGAATTAATCGTGAGATATTCATAATTATACATGTACTCATATATGGCTTGATTTAAAGTATTAAATTGATTCAAGTCTACTACAATAATAGCAAATGCAGTATTAGAGATCAGTTGGTATTTTGTACAAACATATTTAGTTATGCTCAATAGCTAATTACATAATTATATTTTCTCAGTATTTATGAGTAGCTATGACTTCATCTGTCGCTTGAATTCTATTTCTGTACTATATTTCAAATCTTCATACAAGATCTAAAATGTTTATATCATGCTTTATAACTTAAACTTTCCCTTTTGGACACATGAAAATATTCAAAATAATTTTTCAGCTTTTTAAGAAATATATAACACATTATCACCTATACTTATCTGACATGCAGTAGAACAGACTATTTCTCCTTAAAAAAAAAAAAAAGATTTTATTTATTTACTTGAGAGGCAGAGTTACAGAGAGAGGGAGAGACAGAGAAAAAGTTCTTCCACCTGCTGGTTCATTCCCCAAATGGCTGCAAGGGCCCGAGCTGAGCTGATCCAAAGCCAGGAGCCAGGAGCTTCTTGTGGGTCTCCCATGCGCTTGGGCCATCTTCCACTGCTTTCTCAGACCATAAGCAGAGAGTTGGATTGGAAGAGGAGCATGGGCCACGAATGGGCGCCCATATGGGATGCTGATGCCACAGGCGGAAGCTTAGCCCCCTATCCAAGAGCACTGGCCCTCTCCTATCTTCGTACAAACTGATGGACCTGTCCTCAACCCTCCCTCCATTTTTTCCCAGTCTCCAGTAACCATTGTTCAAGTCTCAACTGCTAAGGGATGAACATTTTGAGACTGGATTATTTCTTTTGACATATTCCTCTTTAAGCATTTTAAAAATTTATTTGAAAGATGGAGTAAGAAAGAGAGAGAAAGGGAGAGAGACAGAAACTTTCCATCTGCCAGGTCACTCCAAAATGACTGACAAAATCCAAGTCAGCTGAAGCCAGGAGCCAGGTCCTCCATCCTGGTCTCCCACATGGGCCATCTTCTGCTGCCTCTCCAGGTGCATTAGCAGGGAGCTGTATCAGAAGTGCAGAGCTGGGACTTGAACTGACAATCTGATATGGGATGTCAACATCCTCCAAGCAGCAGCTTAACCCATTGTGCCACAATCCTGGCGCCTCTTTTGATATATTCTGAGCTCCAATGCCATTCATGTTATTACAAATGACAGTATTTCATACTTGTTACGCCTGAGTAATATTCCATTGTGTGCCAACACCACATTTCATTAACCTATTCATAACTTGATGAGCACTAATATTATTTTAATTTTTTGGCGATTATGAATAATACTGCAAAAAACTTGTGAGGGCATATGCCTCTTGAGCATATTGATTTCATTTCCAGCTGGCACATACCCAATGGTGGAATTGCTACTGGATTACATGACAATTCTTTTTTCAATTTTGTGAGGAAACTGTTTTCCATTAAGACTGTGCATGCCTATCAGCGGTGTTTCAGGGTTCCTTTTTCTCTTGCAGGAGCACTTGTTATCTATCGTTCCACTTTTTATAATAGCCATCCTCACTGGAGTGAGGTGGTATCTCATTGTGGTTTTAATTTGCATTTCCTTGATGATGTTGGGAATTCTCTCATATATAAATAGGCCATTTGTATGTTTTCTTTTGATAAATGTTTATTTAGTTTTATTTTCCATTTTTTTCCGATTGTTTTTGCTATTGAGCTGCTTATATATATTCTGAATATTAATCCCTTGTAAGATGTATAGTTTGGAAACATTCTGTTTCTATCTTTTTACTCTGTTGTTTGTTTCTAAGGAGACTTGTGGCTTCAAATAATTTCATTTGTCTCTTCTGTACTTTTATTGCTTCTGCCTTTGTGATCTTACCCACAAAATTCTTCTCCATTCCAATGTTCTTAAGTATAACACTTTATTTTAGTAGTTTCATAGTTTCCTGTCCTATGTTTGAGTATTTGATTATTTTACATTAAATTTCATATATTGTGAGAGAGGGTATAGTTTCATTGTTCCGCTTGTGGACATCCACTTTTCTCAGCATCATTTATTAAAGGGGCTATCCTTTCTCCGATATGTATTCTTAGAAGCTTTGTGGAAAATTCGCTGACTAGCGAATGCATGGGATTACATCTCTATTCTGTTCTATTGGTCTATATGTCTGTTTTTATGCCAATGCTGTCTTGTTTTAATTACTATAGATTTGAAGTATGTTTTGGGGACAGATAGTGTAATGCCTCTTGCTTTGTTCTTTTTGTTCAAGATTCTTTTGTGCATTTGGATTTTTGTGGGTTTTTTTTGTGGTTTTATACAAATTTTGAGATCAGCTTTTCTAGTTCTGTGAAACACATCTTTTTAATAGGGATTGCATGAATCTGTAGATTGCTTTGGGTAGTATGTAAAATTTTAAAATATTGATTTTTTTCCAATCCATAAACACAAGACATCTGTCCATTTCTTGTGTCATCTTCAATTTCTTCAATATTTATTGCTTTCATTATAGAGATTTTTCATTTCTTTGATTAAAATTTCTTCTGTTTTGAGGGGTTTATTCTTTTTTTATTTTTTTTTTGACAGGCAAAGCTAGACAGTGAGAGAGAGAGAGACAGAAAGAAAGGTGTTCCTTCCGTTGGTTCACCCCCCAAATGGCCGCTACAGCCGGCACGTTGTGCCGACGATCTGAAGCCAGGAGCCAGATGCTTCCTCCTGGTTCCCAACTCGGGTGCAGGGCCCAAGGACCTGGGTCATCCTCCACTGCCATCCTGGGCCACAGCAGAGAGCTGGACTGGAAGAGGAGCAACCGGGACAGAACCGGCGCCCCAACCGGGACTAGAACCTGGGGTATTGGAGCCGCAGGCGGAGGATTAGCCTAGTGAGCCACAGCACCAGCCGAGGGGTTTATTCTTAATGTGATCTCCTTCTGTTTTATTTTTTTAAAGATTTATTTATTTACTTGAGAGTCAGAGTACTGAGAGAGAGGGAAAGACAGAGAAATCATCTGCTGGTTCACTCCCCCAGATGGCTAGACCGGGTTGAAGCCAGGAGCCAAGAATTTCATTTGGGTCTCATATGGGTTCACATGGGTTCATATGGACACCAGGGGCCCAAGCACTTAGCTCATCTTCCACTGCTTTTCCCAGGTTATTATCAGGGTGCAGGACCAGAAGTGAAGCTGCCAGGACACAACCTTTCTTATATCTTGTTCCCATAATTCCCAATCAATAGAAATGTATAGAAATACTACTGATGTTTTATGTTGATTTTGTAACCAGCCACTTTGCTGAAATCATTTGTTAGTTCTCATAGCTTATTGTTGGGGCCTTTGGGGTTTTCTATGTATAAGAAAACAGTCACTGACAATTTGACTTCCTCCTTTTCAACTTAGACGCCTCTCTTTCACGTGCTTCATTTTTCTGTCTGGGGCTAAGATTTAGCTTAAAAAGCAGTCAGAGTACTCTGTCAGGCATGATTACTGTCCTCATTTTATAGATACAGTTGTAGATGTAAACTGAGGCTCAAAGAGATGCATACTTATTTAAATTAAAAAAGCTGCTAAGAAAAATTCAGGCACTCAAAGTGAAAATAAAAGTTATGGGGGCCGGCGCTGTGGCATAATGCATGAATCCCCCATCTGTGGCATAATGCATGAATCCCCCATCTGTAGTGCTGTCATCCCATGGGTGCTGGTTCCAGTCCCGGCTGCTGCACTTTGATCCAGCTCTCTGCTGTGGTCTGGGAAAGCAGTTGAGGATGGCCCAGGTCGTTGGGCTCCTGCGCCCGTGTGGGAGACCCGGAAGAAGCTCCTTGCTTAGGATTGGCTCAGTTCCAGTCATTGCAGCCAATTGGGGAGTAAACCAGCGGATGGGAGAATTCTCTCTGTGTAACTCTGACTTTCAAATAAATAAATAAATCTTAAAAAAAGAAAAGAAAAGAAAAGTTATGAAGCAAATATGTGTATCTGGAGATGGTACAAAAGGAATCATTAATATTAGTAATGTCCTTAAACAGTTTTTATCAGGAAAATGGCCAGAAAGAATTGAATGATTTTGTTGTATAAAATAATGATTATGTTCTTATCAATCATTTCCTAAATTCAGAGAATATATCAAGCACCTAATGCTGTTAAGGAAGACTGAGCAAACTAATTCATTTGGCATATGTCAAAAAAAAATTAAAAATCGGTTTTGGTGTTGTGGCATAGCAGGCTAAGCCACCACCTGCAAAGCTGGCATTCTAAATAGGCTCATGTTCGTGTCCTGGCTGCTCCACTTCTCATTCAGCACCCTGCTAATGGCCTGGAAAGTGGTGGAATAGGGTTCTAGTAAGCCAGATTGGGCTTAGAAGGATGGTACCATTTTACTAACAAGAGAGACAGAGAGAAAGGTCTTCCATTCACTTGTTCACTCCCCAAATGGTCGCAGCAGCTGGAGCTGGGCTGATCCGGAGCCAGAAGTCAGGAGCTTCTGCAGAGGCCCAAGCACTTGGGTCAGCTTCTGCTGATTCTCGAAGACATTAGCAGAGAGCTGGATCGGAAGAGGAGCAATTGAGACACAAACCAGTGCCTAATGCCAGTGCCGCAGGCAGAGACTTAGGCCACTATGCCACTGTGCAGGCCTCACTGATTAAACTCTTTCCTTATCAGTTTAAAGAGTGTCCAGCTTTGTTTGTCTTTTACACTATTTATGCTTCTCCATTTGCAAATAAGTCTGATATTCCTCTACTAAGATATCCTTTCACAGGCTGGTCCAAGAAACCCGAGACAGTAGGTAGAAAGGGACTAGTTGTGTGACTTTCAAAGGCAGGCTGAGTTATATCACTTTTTCTTGACTGTCTAAGGGTGCATTCTTTTTAGAAGGCTTGCACAGTAAAGACAAATTCTTTCTACTACTGCTATGACGAACAGCTGAACAAGAACTGCCCAAATCCTACCTGTTGGAATCCACAGCTAAGGACCAGGTTTTGTTTGTTTGTTTGTTTTTTCCAATTCTTTTCCCATGGTCATTTATTACCTAGCAAACTTAAGGAGTGAGACTTAAACACGTTCCAGCCTTGCACCCAGGCACAGGCATACTGTAAAGTCAGCAAGAAATCCCTACTAGCTCAGAGTACCCCACCCACCCCACAAACCACCTTTGCTGTTTTTGAGGTCTTCGTTTCCCAAAAGACAATGGACAACAGCATTCTTTTCCAGGCTTAAATGCTATCGTGACAGTACAGCAACGCATGGTACCCTCCTTGTTTTCAAAACTGCTAGGGTTCCACACAATATACATTCCATACTGTCATAAAGCAGAGCACATCAAAACAAGTCATGTCTGTTAATCTACAAAGTTTGTTTCAGGTTAACTTTATACAAGGCTGGCATCTATCTATCTATCAATCTACCTACCTATCTACCTATCTACCTGCCTTTTTAACAGTTATCCTGTTCCATAATTAAAAAGATAATTACAGTACAAAGAGATGTGCTGAGATAGAAGCAGGGGTGGGGTACTGAGCGAGCACTGAGGAGAGCAACACATTTGAATTACTATGGTAAGCTCTAGAGGGGGAAAGAGAAAAAAAGAAACATTCTTTTCTAAAGTGGGGTTGAAGGATCAGTCTTGAACTATCTGTGGTCTGCAGCATGACAGTTTTCCCACCATGAGAGAGGGAAAACCATTCATCTTAGCAAAGGGGAGGCTTTCAGTTTGGATTTGGGTTCAAATTTGTTGTCTGTCACTTATTATACATAATATTGAGGATGTTTCTTATCTACTCTAAGCTTTGTTTCCTTTATTTAAAATAGTGGAATAATCTCATGCATTTTATTATGAAGACCAAAAAAAATTTTTTTTTGACAGGCAGAGTGGTCAGTGAGAGAGAGAGAGACAGAGAGAAAGGTCTTCCTTTGCCGTTGGTTCACCCTCCAATGGCCGCTGCGGCCGGCTCGCTGAGGCTGGCACACCATGCTGATCTGAAGCCAGGAGCCAGGTGCTTCTCCTGGTCTCCCATGCGGGTGCAGGACCCAAGGTCCTGGGCCATCCTCCACTGCACTCCCAGGCCACAGCAGAGAGCTGGCCTGGAAGAGGAGCAACCGGGACAGAACCGGTGCCCCAACCAGGACTAGAACACGGTGTGCCGGTGCCACAGGTAGAGGATTAGCCTATGGAGCTGCGGCGCTGGCCATGAAGATCAAATTTATCTTCACTGAAAAATAATGGTGGACATGTGGCAGGCTTCCCCTGTCTCATATTGGAAAAGTCTATATAGGTAGAACAGGGCAGTGCCAAACAGTTTCACCCTAGAGTCAAGGATTTAGATGTTATTCCTGGCTCCACCTGGCATAAAATTGGCCTTGAGCAACTAATTCCATGTCTAATCTTTAACATGGAGATATTAGTAGTTCCTAGTTCATATACTTGGACTTTAAATGGTTAAAAAAAAAAGGTGAATGAACCTTTAGACGGAGTGTGTGGTGTCCGGAGCACTCATTTCTGAGCTGTGCACTGGCCTCCTTTGTTGCTCTTTGTCAGCAGACACTGTGCATCTCAGCTGCTCCATCCTCCTCTTGACCTCCATAATTACACAATCAATCACAATCCTCTCTTCTGTATATTGTATTCTATTTATTTGTATTATCCTTCTCTTTGTCCTTTAAACAGGCTCAAAGATTTTTAAACTTAAATAATTCCCCCTGCCCCCCAAAGAGAAATCCTCCTTCAAAGTCAATTTTTTACTCAGCTGCTACGCAACTTTCCCCACGATTTTATTCACAGTCCACTTCTTTAAAGATTTCTCACTTTTCACTTCATTCCAGCCTGTCTACTGTCTCCTCTACTTGGAGGGCTCTTGCTTACATTTTCCAGTGAATATTTTCCAATATTTGTCTTGCCTGATATTTCTGAAGTATTTTATATTAACAGTAACCATACCTTCAAATAACAATAAGTAACAGTATGTTTACTTGTGGGATATCACACTCTGCCAGCATTACTCTTATCCTCTAACTCTGCCTTCCCAATCACTCAGCTCGTCAGTTTTCCTCTATCCGGTCTCTGTTGTATTTCTCTGTATTTTGTCCTATGACATGTAACCCTTCTCACCCAAAGGACTTCTCTTAGAAGTCCATAACTACACCATACTCATAACTACATCTCAGTTCTCTCTTTTGAATTCTAGCCCAATTATCCAACTGCTTCTTTCTATGTCTCTTCCACTGGCTGCCATCTGAGCAAAGCATAACAATGTTCATATCATTATACAAGTTGGAAACGGGAGAATCCTTTCAAGATATTTATCTTTCTCTCGTTTTCCCTAACAGTGAAGCCTGGGCTCTATTGATTCTGCCTCCCAAATAGTTCTGAAACTTTCCATCTTTCAGCAACTTCTCTACCAGTATCCTAATCCAAGCCATCATCCTTTTCATGAATTAATGAAACATCCTCCCAAGTGGATCCACTTCCTTTTGTCTTTCAAAGCCTGTCTCTATGGAACAGGGAAATCAATGATTTAATGATGAAAATCTGAATGTGCCCTTCTTGTTTATACTCTTCTAATGGGTTTCTTGCCTCTAAGATATTACAAAATCTGGGGCCAGCCATGTTGTGGTGTAACGTTAGCATCAACTTATGATCCAGCTCGTGTGGCAACGGTCTGGGGAAAGCAGCCCAAGATGGCCCAGATACTTGGATCCCAGCCACCCACGGAGATACCCTGATGATGCTCTTATCTCTTGATGTCAACATGGCCCAGCACTTTCTGTCTGTTTGTCTGTATGTCTGTGTCTCTTTCTCTGATTCTCCTCTCTCTGTAACTCTTTCAAATAAATTAATCTTATTTAAAAAAAAAAAAAAAAAGATATACAAGGTCCACTGATTCACTCTCCAGCTTTAGCTTCTAACCTCCTCCCAGGATTTCTTTCCAAGGTGACCTTCATTTACTTCCTCCAAGGGACAATATTGTCTCTTGCCTTAGGCCATTGCTTCTTCTGTTCTTTTTGCCCAAACCACTTTCTCTGTTCTCTTTTATGGTAACTAAACATTCATCTTTAGATCTCAGTGAGATCATTTATTTCAGGGAAATATGGAAGACATTTATCGACATTAAATTAGACATTTTATTTACAGCAAGAGGACCCTTGTCCTTCATAACAATTATCATATTACTTTTAATTAGTGTTCTCCTACCAAATTGTGGGTTTTGATGACAGCAAAATGGTTATACTGAGTCTGTTATATTCATCATTAAATTTCCAATTTATATATGCACATGAATCTTAAATCTTACTAACATTTCTTAAAATATTTTTAGCTGTAGATAGATGATTTCTTTTTTTTTTTTTCTTTTTTTGACAGGCAGAGTTACACAGTGAGAGAGAGACAGACAGACAGAAAGGTCTTCCTTCCATTGGTTCACCCCACAAGTGGCTGCCACAGCTGGTGTGCTGCGGCTGGTGTGCTGTGTCAATCCGAAGGCAGGAGCCAGGTGCTTCTCCTGGTCTCCCATGCGGGTGCAGGGCCCAAGTACTTGGGCCATCCTCCACTGCACTCCCAGGCCACAGCAGAGAGCTGGACTGGAAGAGGAGCAACCGGGACAGAATCCGGCACCCCGACCGGGACTAGAACATGGGGTGCTGGCGCCGCAGGCTGAGAATTAGCCAAGTGAGCCGCAGCGACGGCCGGTATATGATTTCATATTGAATAAAAAAAATGTAAAACACAGAAAACAAAAATCAATTAAACATTTCTCTTTTAGTTATTACTAAATGCAACGTCAAAATTATTTTTATAAACTAAAATCGCCGACATTGACTTTAGCTTTTTCCCTGCTTTTGATGAAGCTTAATTTGCTCAGTATTTTTGGGACACAGAGTTTGCATTCTTCTACCAGATTAGGGGATTAGGGAGCATTCAGCAAAGATGTACCTACAGCCAATAAAAGAGCAGCACGATCAAGGCTTCCCTAGTGTGCTAACATAAGAAAGGAAAGATGTGACCCTTTTGCTGTTTTAATAAATTTTGTGTTCAAATGACAGTCCCTTAGTGAATATTCCCCTTAAGCTTTCCATCAGTGAAATCCCATTAAACTTTAATTTGCCAGATCTGAGGAACAATGGCTTAGAACTCTCCTTAAATAGGTTAGGGATATGAGGGACAACCCAGCAAGCCTCACAACCTCAGAGGTTAGGTTTCAGATCACTAGCACCTTCCTATCTCTGTGTGTCTATCAAGATGACACAGTTAACAATATTAAATTGTTGTGGACAAGTGAAAACAAGATTCAGAATCTCCTTCTCAAGGCAATACCTGAGTATGTACTTCTCAGCCTCGAATGTCTTCAATCAAAACAAACTTTAATAGGCAAAATGAAGCAAGATAGGAAAGCAGCAAGCAAGGAGGAAGGGGGTTATGGGAATTCAAGGAACAAATGGAAGAGGAGGGAAAGGAGGGGGCAGAGAAATACCACCTCTATGGCCTACAAAACCACTGGTTTATTTAATATTTCCATTATTCCCCCCAAAATTCATGAGTTGTGTACATTTTTTACTTGGCCTGATTATAAAATACCTTTGTTGTTCTTAATGCATATAAATTATTTGATTTCACAAATATTTACTGGAGATATTTGCATATATGGAAAATTAGTGAGAGAGAGGGAGGGAAGAGAGAGAGGCAGGAAGAGAGAAGGGGGAGAAATCAGTTATTCAGTGGATTCAACAGCTTTTTGGGGCTTGGGGGGAACACTGAGGGGGATTTCTGGACTTTTCAAAAATGAAATTAAATAAGCCTGCATACACACTTTCCTTAGGTATCTTTTGTAACCATGCATAATATGGGGTATAAATTGTCTCTATCATCTGAATTTGGGGGAAACATAAATTCCCTAAAAATTGTATGCTAGGGGCCAGCACTGTGGTGCAGTGGGTTAAAGCCCTGGCCTAAAGCACCAGCATCCCATATAGGCGCCAGTTCTAGTCCCGGCTGCTCCTCTTCCATCCAGCTCTCTGCTATGAACTAGAATAGCAGAGGATGGCCCAAGTCCTTGGGCCCCTGCACCCATATGGGGGACCAGGAGGAGGCTCCTGGCTCCTGGCTTCAGATCTGTGCAGCTCTGGCCATTGCAGCCATCTGGGGAGTGAACCAGTGGATGGAAGACTTCTCTCTCTGTCTCTACCTCTCTCTGTAACTCTGTCTTTCAAAAAAATAAAAATAAAATCTTTAAAAAAAGTGTATGCTAGTTTACCTCTTTCACTAAGAATAGTTAGATCAGTTTCATATCATGGCTTGCCCATGACTGGGTACTCACTCTTGCATCCATATTCTCAAGTGTGTAATGCACTGAGTTGACTTACTTGTCAAGGGCACAGTCTTTGACAAGACTTCTTGTGAATTGTGAATCTAGAAGGAATACATGGTCTGGGGGTGTGTGGGGAGGGATTTCCAAATAGACTGTGTAGTTTTTTCTAGTTCTCTCTCTGGCATAAAAATCAGAAGACTATTAATGCAGCACTAAATAAACATTTCTCCCCTTTCGAAATGCTTTCCTCCCCTATTGGGGAAACTACTGTTGAATTATTGTCATATGAAGGATTTGCACTTTCTTATGTTTCCCGTTCCAAAACTGGAATCATTGTTGGAGATGGTCATTTCAGAGAAGTGTCTTTTACAGGAAAGTCCATAGTCTCCGATCTTTTCAATGACCTTAGTGAAATGATATTTGGTGAGGAAACCCTAAAAGAAAATGCTGGTTTTAATTTATTGGTAGGACAAAGAATCTCTGTGAAACCTCAGTTTTGGAAAGAAAGGGGGATCAAAAAAGGATGTACTTTTCTCTGAAGGGAGGAGAGAACTTCCACTTTGCTTATGGCCGTGTCCAAATACTGATGGAGTCTATGGTCACAAAAGGCTTCCATAGCCTTGGCAGCCCATGGCAAGAGCCTTTGATGATCACTGACATCATAAATAAGTGTTCATTGTTAACGGAACAATGGAAGTCACTGTGTACTTACTCCTCATATAGGACCTCTTTACTTAATGAGTTGTACTATGAGAATCGACTGCAAATCTTGCTCACAAACTGTACTTTATATGTTGGGGGGGTACAAAATGTTGAAATCTGCTTAACATGGAGTTGGTCCTCTGTATATAAAATTAAGCTAAAAAGGAACCATAATGAAGAAGGGGATGGGAGAGGGAAAGGGAGGTGGGATGGGAGTTGAAGTGGGAAGGTGGGTGGGTATGGGGGAAAGAACCACTATATTCCCAAAGTTGTACCTATGAAATATGCATTCATTCAATAAAAACTTAAAACAATTCATTGGTAGAAAGATGGTATCTGTCACAAGAGTCTCAGAATCTCTTACCCCAGATCTTCTGCATTTCGCTGAAAATCTTAAGCTGTCTAGGGTAAACAGTGTTTCTGCTCATTTTTTTTGGTCCTTTTACCCTACCCTGATTTGGCCTTGAATTAACTTTGAAGGTTAATTTCCTATATTCACCCCTGAATACAAAACTATTTTGGATTAAAAAATGTGTTCATAGACCACATGATTTCTCACTTGTATAAAACTGGAGATTAATTCCTGATTACCCAGGTGGATGCAAATTTGTGGGCTTTTTTTTCTTCCTCTTTTAAAGGAAGGCCAGAGTTAATTCCCTTTAGTGAAAGAGAAAAGTCCTCAAGAATCTGAGAACATCAGGCTTCTTTCTAATATAATTGAAAAGTTGGTCTGTAACTAGCCCCCTGCCTGCACATGTCTTAGTGTGCACCATACATTTTGAATATATTGTATTTTGGTGCGATTTTGAAGTTGCACTCTGCACTTAACACTCTCTAAGTTCAACACATCTGGAACTAGAGATTGATTATCATGACACCATATGAGAGTAGCTTGTTTCCCCTGGGGTCATAAAATCTTCTATTATCATCATCAGGGGATAATTTTTCTTTACTACCAAAGTATTATGATGTAGCTATTCAACATCTTGATATAATTTCCAAAGCTCACTGAATTCTAGGGATCCATATATTTCCTCTCTGGGGATTGTAATCATACTAGCTCCTGAAATCTTTTCTTTTCACAGCATTTTGAACTCCCAGCTACTTATTTCACTAAATCAATCAATCTAGCTATGTATCTATCTAAAACTATGTTTTCCTACTTCAAGGTAAAATAAACCACATTTATATTGAGACACAATATTATCCTGTGATTACAACACCTGCTGACTAGACTGTGACTTCCTATAATAGCTTCATTTAGATAGACCCACCAAGCAATAGTTATTCTGGGTTGGGTTTATACATTGTAAGCCATTCATGTGTTTTATAAGACTAGTTCTGGAATTTGATGTCAACCCTTCTCACTATTATCACTGTAAACCAAGTTTATGGAACTCCCTTGAAATAAGCAATTCATCTTTCAACACCTGTATTTTATTGCTATATATCCAAACCTGCAGTATATTTATTATATATTATATATGTAGCTATATATAATATATATTATATATATCATATTTATAGCTACATATCCAAACCCAACACCTATATTCCACAAGTCTTTACTGCTCCCTCATGCACCTAATTATAATTATTATAATATTAACAGTCATTATTCCATTAAGAGTCATACTGTATGTGAATGAGTCCAAGCAAAAGTGCAGCTCTAGTCTCTTTCACTAATTTCAATGCTGGTTGTTAGTGAAAATTAGCTGACAATTGTACAATGTACATCTGGGGTCCAGCTTATTTTCCCGTTGATAAGGATGCACTCATCCAAGTTATACTCAAAATTATTTTTCTTTAATTCCACCCATATATATCTAGTTATTTTATAATCTTCCTGTGACCTTTGTCTGAAGCAAGTTATCAAGAGATCTTCAAAGCATTGACTTAACAAATGCTAGCTCTAGTCTTGAAAGTCTTGTAATTGGGCAAAGTCGTTGGTGATCATGCCTGCTGCCTAACTTCAATGTGACGTGGGTTTGCCCTGACATCTTTCCTTAATTGATATGGAGTAGAATCAATTTATAATTCAATAAAGATTGTTGATCAGCACCCAATATTTAGGGATAGTTCTAGGTGTGTAACATTAAGGGCTAACAACATTGATAGATTTTAGGTTCAATATATTCATTCACAAGCTGCTATACATTATTAGAGCTTCCTTGAACAACATTGCATCAATGTAAAATAAAAAAGTAGACATGTTCAACTTATTTCCTTTAAACTATAATTAATCTATTATATCTCACACAAGTTTTGAAGGTTACTTATATTAGCTAGCTTTGTTCTCATAAAAAAATAAATCACCAGATCTGGAATGATTTGCATGGTGTTTGATGTGGGCCTTTACCACAATGTTTAATTATTTGTCTCACGTGATGCAATATCAGCCCTTGTGACTTAGCTCTTCTGGCTGTGCTTCATTTCTGATGCTGGGCTGATGGAGTAGCTTCTGTGAAGAACATGATTTTTTTAAAGATTTATTTGAAAGGCAAAGTTACAGAGAGGCAAAGGCAAGGGGAGAGAGAGAGAGAGACAGATCTTCCATCCACTGGTTTACTCCCCAAACGGCCACAACAGCCAGAACTGGGCTGATCTGAATCCAGAAGCCAGGAGCTTCTTCCAGGTCTCCCACAGGTACAGGGACTCAAGGCCTTGGGCCATCTTCCACTGCTTTCCAGGCCACAGCAGAGAGCTGGATTGGAAGTGGAGCAGCCGGGACTGGAACTGGTGCGCCCATATGGGATGCTGGCACTGCAGGCGGCAGCTATGCCACAGCACCAGCCCCAAGAACATGATCTTATGATGATCTTTACATGGCCAAAACCAATGTCATGTGTTTAGGAAGTATATTCCTCCTATAGGGAATAGAGACACAGCTAGAAACACAACAAGAGAGATTATAAAAATTATATTTCAGGGGAGTAAGCAATGATGAATGGGTTAAAAATAAATCTACAGCAGCACCATATGTTGTTTTCGAATTGTCTGAGGTGTACTTCTAGATAAATGACTACCTAATATATATATGTGTATATATATACACCAAATATATATTACCCTGTATCTTCCCTTATATACAAGGACGGGTACAGGTCATCAGTGGTATTGAAAATTTCCTGACTACTGAGTATCTTACTTATTGGCAAAATCTTAATAAGTTATTTCCCTCATATCAATAAAATTAATTCATTCAATGACAGTTTTGCCCACCTTATCTTTCCGATCATATATTCTCATGAATTCTAGGATGACTGAGACTAATAAATTGCCCTAGTAAAATAACTAAACTCCAAGGAATCTGACTAATGGCCATCACCAGGAGCACGATCTGATTTCTCTAAATATGAAAAATAGCACACTTGACACATTTTTAATCTTGAGTCTATCTTCCTCTCAGGCATTTGGAAATGATATCATTTTTATCAGATTTTGTTTACATTTCCAAGAGGTATTTCATACTTATTTTTAGAATTTTGGGCTGGTGTTGTGGCAAAGAGGACAAAGCTGCCACTTATAGTGCTGGCATCCCGTATGGGCACTGGCTTGTGTTCCCGCTGCTCCACTTCTGATTCAGCTCCTTGCTAATGGCCTGGGAAAAGCAGCAGAAGATGGCCAAGTGCTTGGGCCCCTGCACCCACATGGGAGACCTGGAAGAAGCTCCTAGCTCCTGGCTTGAGTCTGACTCAGCCCCAGTCATTGAGGTCAACTTGAGGGTGAACCGGCAGGTCGAAAATCTCTCTCTGCCTCTTCTTTTCTCTCTGTATCTCTGACCTTCAAGCAAATAAATAAATCTTTTTTTAAAAAATTAAGTAAAAACTTTCTGTTTGTAATTCACTTTTTTGTTTTTTTGAAACAGGAATATGTCTTTCAAATGACGTCTGTTTACGGTGGCAGGTGCTGTACGATTTTTGCTTATATACAATAATGAAACTTAAGCCTAAACTTTAAAATCTCTGTGTTTAGACAACATGGCTATTTCTTAAGATAATCTCTATTCTCAGAAAGCTGCAGATTATTTTGCTAGAAAGATCACCTGCCACTTTTCATGCCTCTACATTACTGACAATCTCAGTCACTTTGTCTCTTAAAAGTGATCTGAGCCAGAGCCGCGGCTCACTAGGTTAATCCTCTGCCTTGCGGCACCAGCACACCGGGTTCTAGTTCCGGTTGGGGCGCCGGATTCTGTCCCGGTTGCCCGTCTTCCAAGCCAGCTCTCTGCTGTGGCCAGGGAAGGCAGTGGAGGATGGCCCAAGTCCTTGGGCCCTGCACCCCATGGGAGACCAGGAGAAGTACCTGGCTCAGGCCATCGGATCAGCGCGGTGTGCCAGCTGCAGCGCGGCAGCCGCGGTGGCCATTGGAGGGTGAACCAATGGCAAAGGAAGACCTTTCTCTCTGTCTCTCTCTCTCACTGTCCACTCTGCCTGTAAAAAAAAAAAAAAAAAAAAAGTGATCTGATATCTATACTTAGGTTTTGAATTCTAAAGCTCCATGTCCTACCATCAGTTATTTTACCTTTTCTATGGTGTCTTCTTCACCTAATTTGCACCTAGTTTGTATTTATCATTTCTATCAAACTATCAATAGCATTCTCTTCCGTTGAAAAGTGGCCCAGTTTGGACAATGAATTGCAAGGTTATCCTATTTGTTTTCTTTTTTTAAGATTCACTTATTTATTTTGAAAGTCAGTTACTGAGAGAGAGAGATCTGGTGGTTTATTTCCCAGATGGCAGCACCAGCCAGCACTGGACCAGACAGAAGCCAGGAGCTTCATCCAGGTCTACCACATGGGTGGCAGAGGCCCAAACACTTGGCCATCTTCTGCTGCTTTTCCCAGGTCATTATCAAGGAATTGGATCAGAAATGGAGCAACCTGGACATGAACAGGCTCACATGTTGGATGCTGGCATCGCAAGCAGCAGCTTTACCAGCTACACCACAATGCCATCCGTATGGTTATGTATTCAACTTTGCCCTTAATCTTAAATGTTTTTGTTAATTTCTTCTTAAAATGTCCCCTTAAATATAAATCTTTATTTCTATTTACCTCTATACACAAATCTTATCAACTTCAAATTTACAGACCAGAACTTGTAAAATATTCATTGATTAAATTTACACACATTGGTGGAGGATGTATTTTCTGCATTTGGCAGGAGTTCCCCCAATTCGCTCCATTATTGACTTATTGTTTTCCTACTTTATGAAATTATTCAGTATGAGTGGATAATTCCAGGTCAGGATCTAGGATCTTTCCTAAAGGTAAGCTGATAAGTTACAACTAAGTATCTGCTTCTTTCCAAACTCATACTTAAAAGACCAGACCATCTTTCATTGTTGTTATTTTTCCTTTAATATATGTATCACTTTCTTTTCACATATTAATTTTCTAGTCTATAAAACATTGGCTCTATCCATAAGTAGTAACCTTTTGCCTAATGATAATTTCTGACATTGTTAAAGCTTAAGTACACAGACACAAACCTACCCACATATTAAAGATGGTTTTCCTGGCCTGTACAATTCTTGCATTCATGGTGTCTGCAAAGGAAAAGAAATAGATTTTTAAAAATTCCTCCTCTTTCAACTTTTAAATATTGTGTAGCAATTGTGGGAGCAAACCCTTACCAATCTTCAAATTCTACCACCTCTACTTAGAAGACCCTGACATATCGACAGGTTAATCTTGCAACTCAGAGAAATGACCAAAATAAAACTCAAACATGACAGAGAGACTAACAGAAAGCCAAAGTGGACAGAGTGGAGAAAGAAGAGACAATACTAGCCACTTGGACTGTGTTAACAGAGTAGAGGAGTTATGGTGGGGGAAAAAAAAAGCTGTAAATAGCATATTGCAAGATAAGAGGAAACAAAATGAATATTTTATGCATTGGGGTTATGCATTGGGGTTAGAATTGTGGCATAGTGGATAAAGCCACCACCTGCAGTACCGGCATCCCATATGGACACCAGTTCGAGTCCTGGCTGTTCCATTTGCAACCCTGCTCTGCTTTGACCTGGGAAAGCAGTAGAAGATGGCCCAAGTCCTTGGGCCCCTGCACCCATGTGGGAAACCCGGAAGAAGCTCCTGGCTTCGGATTGGCACAGTTCCAGCCATTGCAGCCATCTGGGCAATGAACCAGCGATGGAAGACCTCTCTCTCTCTCTCTCTCTGCCTCTGCCTCTCTATAACTCTGCATTTAAAATAAATAAATAAATCTTAAAGAAAGAAGCTATGTATTAAAAGGCTGGAATAAAAATATTAATTTATTTCAAAGAATTATTAATGTACTCACACGGTTATATTATTTTCTTTTAAAAAAAAGATTTATTTTTATTTATGTGAAAGGCAGAGTTACAGAGAGAGTGGAGAGGTAAAGAAGATAAAGAGAGAGAAAAGAGAGTAAGAGAGAGAGAGAGAGAATCTTCCATATCTTCTATTAACTGGTTTATTCCCTAAATGGCCAAAATGACTTGGGCTGTGCTGGGTCAAAGTCAGGAGTCCAGAGCTTCTTCTGAGTCTCCCATGTAGATGCAGGGGCCTAAGCACTTGGCCACCTTCTGCTGCTTTCCCAGGTACATTAACAGGAGCTGGTTTCAAATTGGTGCCCATATGGGACGCTGGCATTGCAGGCAGTGGCTTAACCCTCTATTCCACAATGCCAGCCACTATTATTGTCTTCATCTGTGCTTCAGTCTCTGATTTGAATCACAGGGATGGTAACATCAATATTGTTACAGCAAATTTGTGATAATTGGATTTCCATAAGCTAAGATATTCTAGGTGAAGGCTTCTTAGTAAATTTGGTAGTTGTATTCCAAGAATGTGGAAAGTTTCTCTGTAATTAAGAACATTATGAAAATCTATTAATTTAAGGACCAGTGTATTGTCACAGTGGGCTAAGCCACCAGTTGGGTTGCCCACATCTCGTATGCATTAGCAGGGAGTTAGATTAGATACAGGGTAGCCAGGACTTGAACCAGCACTCGGGGAGCAGCAGATAATGACTCTGCCACATATATGGGAGACCTAGATGAAATTTTTGGCTCCTCTTTTCAGCCTGGCTCAGCCCTGGTTATCGTAACAATCTGGGGACAGATCCAGTGTGTGGAAGACATTTCTCTCCCCCACCTCCCAACTCCGACATTCAAATAAATGCATAAATCTTTAAAAACCTATTAATTTACATGTTCATAGCATCACTCATCATTTAGGGCTTTAAGATCCACTATTATAGCTGACAATGATTAAAACACAAGTCTTAGAACGTTGGGTTCACATAGTAAAGGATAGGAAAAGGAGATAAGATACTTCAGAATGATTTCTGGAAACCCAAATGTATGTGTCAATTGCAGTTCTCTTTTGAGAACAGTACAACCAAATCTGAAATCACACACACACACACACACACACACAATATAGAGACATCTTCCTGGACCTCAAAGTCAGAATCCAAAATTTCTAGGTCACTGCAAAAGTCAAAGACCATTCCCAAAGCTTACAGATAACGTTAGTGCTCCAAGATGCTAGGCTAACTTCAGACATTTCAAATCTCATGTCAAATCAAGTATGCAGGATTTTCATCTTCAGCAATAGCCTGAACATGAGGGACAGATGTTTACTTTGTGCCTTAGGTTGGGCCAGTGAAAGTCTTCCAATGAAGTTATAAAGAAACCAGCAGAAGTGACCCCAAAGGCTGCATTTTTTAATAAATGAAAGAGAAAATCCTAATCCATGTTTGTTCAGTCCAGTATTTATCTTTGTTGTATAGCTAAAAAGATTTGTGGTGGTTGGCTAATTGAAATTGATTTACTTTTCCCCATAAATATGCCAGTTGCTCCCAGAATAAAAATAATAAAGCTATTTTAGTTATATTTGTATGGAAGGAATGGGGAAAAGGAAGTTGCATACATCTTTGGTGGCAGAAATGAAAACAACTAGTGAAGTTCTGGTTGCACTTGAGAATTTCACACCTAGTTGCACTGCCACTGCTACAATTTAGCATGTCCCTAGCACTGTCCAATAGCTCAATGACCTTGGCAAGATAATTGATGGTTAAGGTGTCCAATGAAATAGTTTAATAGCACCCATATGCTAAACTTAATAAACAGTTAACTGCCCATGACATTCAAAGCTAAACTATAACCTTGAGTGTTCTCACAGCCTTAATACATGCCGATTGTTCTCCAATACAACATACTACTAAACCAATGAACTGTTTGTGTGTATGTGTTCTATGAATTTATCACTTTAACTTTAGATATTTATCCTTTTTATATTAATGTTAAAAGGATTGTAATAAATAGTCCTTTAGAAACACAGGACACTGATTTCTAAAATTTTTCATGTTGATGTTAATGTTTTATTTCAAATTGAAAATTATATACATTATGAGGCACAATGTGATATTTCAATATATATACAATATAAAGATTAAATCAAGCCAATTTGCCTATCACTTCAGCCACCAATCATATTTTTTGGTAAGAATTTTAAAATCTAGTTTATTGTAGCATTTTGAAATACATAGTATAACTATGATCTACATGCTGTGCCATAGATCACTATAACTCATTCCTTCTGTATAACTGAAGCTTTGTATCATTTGAACATTTTATTCAATTACTTTGGCTAATGGAAGTGAGATTATGAAATCATATGGTAATCCTATGTTTACTTTTTTGAGCAACCTCTATACTGTTTTCCAACAGTGAGTGTATCAGACAGGATTCGCATCCTTATCAGCACTTGATTTCTATTATCTTCTTTTTTTTTAATTTTTTTCTGAAGAGTTGATAGTTCTTCTGAGTAGACTGTTACTCAGTGCCGTAGGAAGTTTGCTTGATGAGACAGTTCTTCAAGGAGGAGACTTTTTCTGAGAAGAGAGTTCTGAGGAGTAGAAGGTTCACCTGAGGAGATGGTCCTTCCGAGGCACAGGTGATTCTTCTGATATGACAGTTCTTCTTAGGACTAGACACTGCCTCTGAGGAGATGTATCAGGAGGGTGTGGTTCTTTTTTTTTTTTTTTTTTGGACAGGCAGAATTAGAGAGACAGAGAGACAGAGAGAAAGGTCTTCCTTCCATTGGTTCACCCCCCAAATGGCCACTACGGCCAGCGAGTGCGCTGGTCCGAAGCCAGGAGCCAGGTGCTTCCTCCTGGTCTCCCATGTGGGTGCAGGGCCCAAACACTTGGGCCATCCTCCACTGCCTTCCCAGGCCACAGCATAGAGCTGGACTGGAATAGGAGCAACCGGGACAGAATCCAGCACCCCAACTGGGACTAGAACCTGGAGTACCGGCACTGCAGGTGGAGGATTAGCCAAGTGAGCCACAGCACCAGCCTCTATTATCTTTTTGATGAAGTCATTCTAATTCGGTTGATGTGGTAGCTCACTGTGGTTTTGATCTGCATCCTCTGATGTTTGGTGATGTTGAGTATTTTTTCATATATCTGTTGGTATTTTGTCAACATCTTTGGAGAAATGTTGGTTTAGTTCTTTGTTTTTGACCAGTCTATATGTTTTCTTGATATTGAGTTGTTTGGGTTCTTTATGTTTTCCAGACTCAACCTACTTCCTAAACAGATGTATAGTTTGCAAATACTTTCTCCCACTATGTGAGTTGTCTCATCACTCTGTTAATTGCTACCCTCACTGTAAAGACACTTTTGAGTTAGATGTAATCTCATTTGTCTATTTTCACTTTTGTGGCCCATGCTGTTGGAGTCCTAGCCAAGAAATCATTTCACAGACCAATGTTATGGGGCTTTTCCACTGTTTTATTACAGTTCTGGGTATTACACTAAATGTCTTAATGTATTTTCAGTTGATCATTTTATACAGTATGAGATAAGGCTCCAGTTTTATTCTTCTGAATGTGGATATGTAGCTTTCCCAACACAATTTATGGAAGAAATTTTCCCAATGTATTCCTTCCAAATTGTCAAAAAATCATTAGATATAGATATTTACAATTATTTCCAGGCTTTCTATCCTGTTCCACTGAGTAATATTTCTGTTTTTATTTTTTTTTCAGAACCATGATATTTTGACTTCAATAACTTTATAACATATTTTAAAATCAGAATCAGAGTATGATGCTTCCAGCTGTGTTCTTTTTCAAGATTGTTTTGGAAACTCAGGGTTTTTGTGGTCCTAAACCCACTTTAGGTTAAGATTTATTTGGAATAAGATTGCAATTTCAGTAGGGATTTCATAGAATCTATATATTTCTTGGAATAGTATAGACATTTTAACAATCTTAGTTCTTCAAATTCATGACCATGAGATATTTTTTACATACATTTATGTTGTCTTCAACTTTTTCAGTATTTTACAGATGTCAGTACACAGGCCTTTCACCTCCTTCATTAATTTTGCCCCTAATAATTTTGAGACTACTTTGTTTCTTTTTTAAATTAAAAAGTATGAGCAGAAAGAGAAAGAGGAAGATGGAGAGAGGGAGAGAGAGGAAGAGAGAGAGAGATACCAATCTCTTCTGCTGGGTCATTCCTCAAATACTCTTCAAGGCTGAGTTGTTT